AACATCGGACCGAGAACTAGGGACTGGGAACACTTTATATACACACACACAGGAGGAGGGGATGACGAGACACACCTGGGAGCCATGACACATCAAGGGAAACACCTGGGAAGAAATCAACTTAATTAATCAGGGGAGGAACAGGAAACAAACCAAATAAGGGCATGGGAAGGCACATGGGGAGCAGGACACACACGAAACATGAAACAGAGTCTGACAATACAAGGGCTGTTAGATCCACATAAAAAAACATTGAGACCTGCAAAAATATGTAAATTAATTAAATGTAAGATTACATTCAATCCAGTTTTACTAATAATTAACAATCTTTTTTTCCACCAAAAATAATTTATTTTGAAATAGCTACACATCTTTTGAATGCAATATATGAGTACAGTACAGTTCAAAATCACTTATCAGACCTTAAATTTAAATAAAAACAAAAAAACATCCAATGGCATGTAAAGAGTACAGAAGTTATATTTATAAATTAAAAGATATAATATAATATTAACAGGGTCAAGGTGTCTCTTTTAACCTTATATGGTCATTGGAAAAATGTGGCTCTGAGTTCTGAGAACAGATGAGCCACATACTCTGCAGAAACTGCTGCAGCCTCTTATCTGCCCGTGGTTTTCAGCTCTGAAATTCTGACGAGTTGCAGGTTTATTCAGATTCTGAGATAAACCCGCTACACATAAGCATCAGTAAGTTAAGCACAGGTATAACCATGCCTTTCCACACAGGGTTATGAAGAACATATGCTTGACACACAAACCACAGCATGATCTTGGTTTTGGTCTCTTTATGTCTAGAACGTTAATTAAATATTATTGCACCGATCATCTACATCTGAAGATGTACTCAAAACTCATGTCATGTGTTTTAATATGCATAAATATTTATGTATCCCTACCATTTTCATTCCACAAAGATGCATTATCATGTACTAATATTAATCACTGCAGCAGTTTTCATTAAGAATGAATGCAACTGGCTCTGATTTTGCAGTATTAAATTGGTTAATTTATGCACTTAGAGGAGACAAGGAAAAAAGAAAGGATGAAAGATGTATTTATATGCTACAGTACGGATGTGTTAAAACCAAATAAACAAAACTAGTTAGTTTTGTCCAGTTGCAAATTCATTATAAATTAAGATGGAGACATATTTCAAGATACTTTAAATAATAAAGTTTTTATTTATTAATTTATTCATTAATTAGTTCGTTCGTTCATTCATTTCACATTTCTTTTTTAATTTAACACATTCAAATTGTTCTCAAGTGCTTGATAGTAGAAGCGCTCTAGCTCTAATCAAACAGCTAAATAAATAAATAAATAAGTGTGTATGATCATACACAAAAAAATGCACTAAAACTGCATTCTTAAACAGCACCCGAAGATTATCATAATAAATAATCAAATAATTTATATATATATATATATATATATATACATCATGTACAGCATCATGTCCAAAACAAAGATTGCTCAAATAACTAAAGCATTTTTTAAGGTAGTCTAGTTGTAAAAACATACTGGTCAGTAAGTGCATTTTCATGATGATCTTTGGCAAGATTTACTAGCTATAGATTAATAATATTAAAATTATATATATTCATTTAAATGTTAATTTCTTTTAAATAAAGTTACAGGAATTTGAAGATGTTAAAACAAAGAATAGTTATATTATTTCTAGGTGACTGATTAGCATTTTTATTACATTGATTATGCCATAGATGATCACTTATTTATTTATTTTTGTTCCTTTGATACACAAAATGCTCTTTTGAACATCTGAAAATTAGCTGGAGAATATCGTCATCATCATCATCATCATCATCATGTTTTATTAATGTCAGCTTCAGCTGCATTCACATACTAAGTTACTTTTCCACTTTTCATTCAAAAGTTTTTGACAATATAAATTAATTAATGATACATAATGAAAATATTGCACTGAATTACAAAATAAAGCAAAATATAAGCATTTTCATTAGCTGTCTCTGACTACGTTTGGTCCCACATTAAACACACATGTGCCAAATAAATTAATTCCATCTGTTAAATGCCCCATTAACAGCAGAATGGAACACAATGCATGTAAACAGGGTCAGAATATGGAATTTGTTTTAATTATTAAATACAGTTTCACTTGCCTTGAATAGCTGATATTTGCAAATACAGGAGCAGGAACCACATGATGGCAGAAAGGAGGACAGAGGAGAGGGACAGGCCAAATGTTGTACCTGCTTTTAAGGGCTCTGTGATGTCACATCATTTTTTTTTTCAACATGCTGTTCATTTTCTTCACCTGAGACCATTCATCCTCATTTGATTTGATATGCTTTGTATTTCATTTAAGCCATTATTTATTGATAATCTTGTCCTCTCTGCAATCTCATTCGCATCCAGATTTAAGGTGAGACACTACAGGCAAAAACACTGTTTTTCTTATTCTTTGAGATTTTGGGCTTTTTGTATTTTCATAATGTACCCTAATTTTTCAGACTAGTGGAATGAAAATATCTAAAATACACTTTAAAGTGTTTATTTAATAGCACTTTATCTTTGCATCTGTAGATTTCAATTGTTGGCTGTTTTCTCAAAATGAGATTTTTCTCCTGCACTGAGCCAAAAATCTCTACTTCAGCAGCATTTACATACACCAAACATTACGGTTTTATTCCAGTCCATATTCTGAAGGTTTTTACAGAGGGTTTGTTCATATATAATTTGCTGATTTTATACAACATTTTATTTCTAAAAAATTGTGAAAATGTATTTATTTACTGGCTGTTGACAGTATTTTCTGATTTATGGAGTGATAAAAAGAGATATCCAAAATCCCCTCTGTAGAAACCTTTGACTCCAATATGTTAACAAAATGAAACAAGAATTTTGAACCTGGCTTCATCCATTGTTCAGATTTTAGTTAGGGATTCACCAATACCATTTGTTCAGAACCAATCCGATACCAAAAATTCTGAGTATCGGCCGACCAGCACAGTTTTTTTTTTTTTTAAGTCAATGTAGAATTTCAATACCTCTGTGTGTTGACCTGATCATCACTCTTTTGTCTGTTAAACACAGTCTACTAACTATAGACAACTTCATTTTAAAGATAAATAACAAATGTAAACATATATAATCATAATTTATGACAAAAATACTATTATATACTAGGTTAGTGGATCACTAGGTGGATAACCTTTTAGGTTAGAAAAATCACAAGTGCACAATAATTTTATAAAATCTAAACATTTATTGAAAAAAGCATTTAGAGGGGAAAAATAAAAGTCAATTTTAGGTTTAAATCTGGTAAAATGTTAAATATTGCTCTTTGTATTGTTGTGAAATACATTATATATAAATATATACTATAAAATTAAAAGAGATTTATTTTAAATGTATAGCACAGAGGTAGCATCATATGATAGATAGGACAGAGCAAGAAAGGCTATTAATCTTTCATTGCGCAAAAGTATTTGTAACGAATTCAAACAAAGAGGGTCACATGACATGAACAAACAAATGGGAAACAAGACACATGACCTAGACAACCAATCAGAACATGACACATACACAAGGCAGAGATACATGAGGGCAAGGGAAGTATGACACTGACAGGGTGAAACAATTACAAAATAAAAGACATGAGAACATGACACAAAAACAAAACCCAAACCCCACATTACATTTCCCCACCGATCGTTTCACTAAATAAGACCCTTATTTCTAGGCTGGGATCATGTAGAGCCCTTTGAAGCTGCACTGAAACTGTAATTTGGACTTTCAACCGTTTGGTAACTGTTGAAGTCCATTATATGGACAAAAATCCTGGGATGTTTTCCTCAAAAACTTTAATTGATTTTCGACTGAAGAAAGAAAGACATGAACATCTTGGATGACATGGGGGTGAGTAAATTATCAGGAAATTTTAATCTGAAAGTGAACTAATCCTTTAAGAACAATTCACAATGCTCTCTACTCGAGTTTTGTGATCTAAGACATCCAGTAGAAAGTAAAATGATTTAGAAACAGCACTAAACTCCAGCAAGATAAAGTCCTTTTATGCAAAACCATTGATCTTTATCTACAGATCAAGTATAATAATAGGAACATTGAATCATCTTGGAGAGAGTTTTATCGTCTTGACTGTCGTAACCCAACGCGATATGATGCCATGGAGGATGACAGACAGCCGCAGCCAGGGTTGCCAGGTTTTCACAACCAAACCCGCCCAATTACTACTCAAAACTAGCCCAAAACTAGCCCAATCACATTTCGAGGGAGGTTCCCCATTAAAAATCGTGTTCCGGGGGGTAAAATACACGTTTCTGGCGGGGTTCCCCTGGTAAAATTCGCACTCCAGGGGCTAAATATCACGTTATCGGGGTCGCTTTAACCCGCGGACATGAAAAACAACCCGCGGCAACAGTGATAAAGTAGCCCAATTCCACGGGAAAACCACGGACTTGGCAACACTGGCCGCAGCGGAGAGAAGAGTTCACATGAACTTGAATTTAAGGATTTAAATATTCATCTGAACCTCACATTAAACTATGGAACGGCTTCATAACACTTGGAATAGTGCACGAAAAATTGATGGTGCTATATAATGTTTTTATGCCTTTCAGCAATAACACAGAATAGTATACGCACAATATCGGATTTGGATTGGTCTCGTATGACCGAAACCCGATCCGGCAGAAAATGGCAGTATCGGAGCCGATACCGATACTGAATATCGGATCCCTAATTTTAGTTCTAGAAATGTATACAATTTAGCACATATTTATTAGATAAAGCTCATTTGCATATTTAAACATAACATTTCAGAAAACATAACATTACAAAAAATAAATGTTTACAATTCTTAATGTAATCAATCAACTGGGGAATGGGTATATTTATTAGTTACTTTTTTTACGCTATTCACCTGGGGGTGTCTTGCCTTAAAAAAAATGCATAATTGGCACTGGTTCTCATGTGTACAAGTTTACATACAGTATGTGTGGATAAGTAATGACAAATAAACTTTTGGGTGAACTGAACTTTTCCTTTAACATCAAGACGGATCTTCTTCTCTTGCGCTCGGCCTGCCATTACTGTATCTGCGGCTAGAGGTCAGGGTTGCGTAGGCCTAAACATTTCAAGTCCTTCACATGTCATACAACTCATTCATAGCAAACGTATGAACGCTGAAGAAAACAGTGATTTTGTACTATTTTAGTTTATTTCTGTTTAGTGTTCTTGCAAGCAGCCTTGAGAGAAAATGAGAAGCGAGAAGGTGAGAGGGGAAATAGACAGAGAGACCCTGCTGTGGCTTCTCTCTGTAGATGCTGATCTGTGGGTTGTTCATTTTATAGAGCTGAAGATGAAACGATAATTAGTTATCTTAAATGATTCTCAAAATGTAGAGGGAAAAAGGAAAAGATAATTTGACAGCAAGAAACTTAAAGTGATAGTTAACCCCAAAATGAAAATTCTGTCGTCATTTTTACCCCCATGTCGGTCCAAACCAAGCACGACTTCTGTCTAGAAGATGTTTTGAAAAATGTTTCAGCGAATGTCTTTTTATTTCATACAATGTAAAGGGGTCTAATGTAGTTTGGACCTGCCCGTTACTCAAAATATCTTATTTTGTGTTAATAATGCCAACATTTGTAAACACAGCAGTATGAGTTAGTTAATTGATGTTTAATTAATATCAAAGATAAAGCAAATAAATAGAACTGTGAAGGAAACTACGTCTAATTCTAGTTGGGAAGTAATCATTTCAAACTGTTTGCGAATAATATTTAAAATATGCACATTTAGCCTATTTGTACGCCTAATATGTTGAAAAGCAAAACGTTTACTATCTCGCTCATTCAGTTTGGAATTAGCCTACATGAATCACACAAGGGAAGTCGTGGCCTAATGGTTAGAGAGTCGGACTCGTAACCCAAAGGTTGCGGGTGTGTTCACGGTGTGTGTGTGTTCACTGCTGTGTGTGTGCACTTTGGATGGGATAAATGCAGAGAACCTACTACATAGGGTACAACGGTGCTAAAGGCCCCCCGGGGTAAAAGGCGCCTTTGATTTTATTTTCATCTAAGCCACTAGATGGCACAAAAACGTAGCTTAGCACTTTCCAAACCATCTGCTTTTCAAGATGCAAGTGTATATTTGTCTGATCCTTGACGCTATGGCACACAGCAGCGCAAAGTTGATTCTGCGCTTACTTAATCTTTTATGTTTTTTAAAATGTTGTAGATTTAAGTAGCAAATTAGAATAGCTAAAATTAATGCATATATATTGAGACAAAGGTGTTCTTAACAATTTTCAGTTTTGTTTAAGGTAATTAAAGCAACAGTTTTTAAATAACGAAAGAATATTTCAAAGTATGGTATTTGGGGTAAAAAGAGCCCCTGATGTTGGGGCTAAAAGGCACAGTAATTAACATGATAATTAATAGATGGCTGACTTTTCCATTTGTTGACATGACATGGTCAGATTCAGATGGTAAATATCATATATTATGTTGGGTGTCCATATTAGAGATAATCACCATGTTTAGAATGAAACCATCATATTTAAAAACATGATATTAATCATATCATATAATAAAATATAATTTGTTGTTACTACTGTAAATATATATTCAATTATTATTGGATCTCCTTCAATACTTTCAGAATCTTTACTTATTAAAACGATTTTATGTTGTTTCGGGGTTGGCATCATCTGAGGTCCTCTGAGGGGTTGGCATTATCTCTTCTCAGGTGTTCTGGATCCGGACTGAAGCTTGTGTAAATGGGATGTCAATCCCGTGGCAGAAACAGAGAAACAAATAGAGACATGATTAGCGTAGCTGCTGTTCCAACCAAGCAAAACTGATTTGTTTAACCCAAGCTAAAGAATAAAAATGTGCATTTGATCAGATATAACTGCAGTACAAGATTATGAGATGCATTATTTGAATGCTTGGCCAAAGAGATGTGTCTTTAATCTAGATTTAAACAGGGAGAGTGTGTCTGAACCCCGAACGTTATCAGATAACCCAGATCATTTAAAATAATTAAGGTTGGTGAGGGGGTCAGATAATCTCTGTGTTCACTTTATCACCCTCATTGCTCTGTCTGTCTGAAGTTCAAGTTAAAATGAGTATAAATACTTCATGTATACTATACAAACTTGGATATATAATGGATACAAAAATAGTGTAAAATGCACATTCAGGGCAAACAATATATGTGCAAAGGGATATAATAAATGGGTGAACATGATCTTTTTTTTTTTTTTTATCTTGAAGCATCATTCAATTATATTTGAGGAGTTTACAGTTTACAAATGAATTTACAGAAGTGTACAGTTAATATAAATATATACAGTATGTATATGTGTGTGTGTGTGTGCTGACAGGTATAATAAAGTTCCAGCTGAGATCTTTTAGCAAATTTTGTGCAATTCCTTATTGCAGCCTACATAATTTCAAGCAGACATTAGTATTAAATCACAAAAATAAATGTATAACCATATATTTTTTTACATGCATACATTAATGCATGAATGTATTCCTTTTATTTAATAAAAAAAATAATAATGGTATAAATCAAGTTTAAACGGTAAACCCTGCAGTAGTTTCATAATGGTTTAGTCCTACAAGCTTTGAATGATACTTGGCTAAAATAATCAATCAAGTTTTAAAATAAGCAAACCTGCTGTACATTCAACATGAAATACATGTTCTAATCTAGAAGCTTACTCCAACAATTAAAATATTTAAATTTTTATGATAATTCTTGAGGAGCCAAAATAAGACCATGAAAAATGAGTCATGATTGCGGATTCATTTTTAATAAAAAGCCAATGATTTTGTGTTGAAGTTTTATTCGCAAATATGGAGAAGGCATGACATAGATGAAGAACAGAAATCTTGAACTTAAACACACACATATACATCTCAGACAAATTAAAGCCTTCCAAAGTTGGCCTGCTTATGCCATCCCAGTGAACTCAGCCTTTGCCACATTCCATCAATCTAAAAAATAGAATAAACGAACATTACGATATACAAAATGCAAACTTAAAACACATTATGGTAAAAAAAAAAAAAAACTCTCCAGACGTATGGCAGACACACTTTCTCCAAACATTCCTACTTGCAGACACAATCCACTGTAATTTCTAACGTGACGTCAGTACAAATCAACATTTCAACTCGGATGTTCCCACTTGCGACCTTGTCTCGAGAGCGGCATCAGACCGCCGAGGCAGAGCAGCCTAAAAATTTAACTTTTAAACCTTTTTGTCATCCTGACAACGAACAGAACGCACAGTGAATAATGGAGTGCAGCAGAGCGGTGCAAGAATTTCAAATATTGGGAGGGACGATTTGGCCATTTCTAATGGACCCCTTTCATATTTCCGGGTTTCTCAGAAGCGGAAGTTGTCATAGCTGGGTTCTTTTTTTTTTTTTTTAGCGTTCCAATTTGCTCAAATAGAATAAGAAGGGAGAACAATGTCAAATTTACCGTCAGTCTTCACAGCAACCTTAACCAATTTCTTTTTTTTTTGGTAATTTGATGCAAAGGCAATATAATACGAGGTATAGTGTTTAAATATAATACATTTTAAAAAGAAAATTAAATATAAAAAAAACTTTTTTTGCACGATTTACGATGGTGATGACCGTTGAAACGCATTATCACAGTCTGTGAAAAGGGTCCATTATGGGGGCGACTCCAATCATTTGGTCAGTTTAAATCCTGCCCCTGCAAAGTCATGTTCATCTGTGTCCATTTTTGAGTGCAATGCCTACATCTCAAAATCCAATCAACAACCGATGCAAAGAACTAAGTCCCCACCCTTCATTTTTCTTTTCCAATAATCCATTACACTCGGATGTACATCACAATACGGAAGAAAAGATATTTTGATACTTAAGTTTCATCGCAACTCTAAAGTCAACAGAAAAACATCTTCCATTTCCTCACCACATTTCATTCATTAATTCCCAGAAGATAAAATCAAGCCTCGCCCTACTTATTTTCAGCATTGGAATATTCTGTTCCTCTCTGAAATATCATATAAGTCATAAGTTAAATGGGTGTTAAATGCTATTTCATGTTGACTTAACAGTAAATCATTGGCTGGGGTGTGGGTAATTACGCTCAGCTAAATTATTATGATTTAATGGCAAATTCTTACGTTATGCAAATTGATAGCCAATTACACAGTGCTCCCTCAGGAGAAAACAAGAGTACAGTTACTTTTAAATGAACTATTGCGTTCAAGATTAGCACTATAAAATATCAGATGGTGTCAGCACATTTGAAGAAAAGACCGTAAACTGATGACATTCAGACATTTTTGGGGCCACTGTTGATATTAAATAATGACACATATCAAACAAAATAACTGAAGCATATGTTTAGATGTGATTGAGAGCCGACAGACACAGTGTTTTCTGAGTTCTGTTCACTTTATTTGTGGAATAGACTTTACACCTCTGTGCTTTTGATATCTAACTCTTTAATCTCCTACAGGGAGCCGTTTCATCCAACACCCCTTCCCGAAAATGAGCAGGTGCCTAACCAATTACTAAATTTACCACTTCACTCTGCTTTATGAAGCTGGAGAGAGAGAGAGAGAGAAAAACAGACAGAACCAAAACGAACGTAAAAATAACTTAGGAACAATGCTTGTAAACAGAGTAACAAATATATTTTTCATCACAGTCAAGTGCAAATTTGCATTCCTCCTTTTTTGTACTAATTTCCATATATAATTGTATCTTTCACTTCTGTTCTGTAGTAAAAAATAATTACACTATTATTGCCTGTCTCGTTGCTGCTTATGATTTTTAAATAAACATTAACAGATGAGCTTTAAAACAAATTAGAGAAATGGTTCACTGGTCGTGTTTGATGCATAAGCTATTGTATAAAAATAGCTAGCTAGGTTACACTTAATTACTATGCAAAATGAAAAATAAGTTGAAGTGACTCTAATTACTGCAGTAAAACTCTATGACAGTGGTAAACACCCTCCTTTTGCTTTAAAATGCTATAGAAACCTTTAATTTTCCCATGGGAGAAAACACATAAAAATACCTACAACGGTATCCATGCATATCTGTGATCAAATAACACAAGTCCTTCCCAGTCACCCATCACACACACACACATCGCCGCACTAGTCCGACCTCTGATTTTTGCAAAGAACATGCCTGAATGTTGTTGTTTTTTTAAACGTTTATCGTTCTTTTTTTCTAATGTGCACATCTGGTGCAGCACGTTTGATCATTAATACTCTGTAAATATAATCTTTTTTTCATCAGTGTCAAGAAAGAAAACAGGACAAACGAAACGGAGGTAAAAGAAGTACCATGCAAAAGTATGTGAGAGTAGCATGTTGGCGGCTCCATTCTCTGCCATGGCATCTACTATACAACAACATGCATGTTTGGGTCTTTTTTTGTGGGGTTTTAAAGATGCATGTGATCTAAAGGCGTATGATACAAAATATTGATAGATATACACCACCTCCTTTATCTCGGCCATCGTTTGTGTAATTGTATTTGTCCCTGCAAAGATCTACGGGTTCAATATATCGATGTACTTTATGATCATTTCCACATTTGTAATCTCTCCTGCAACTGTATTACGCAGTGGACGTATAGGCATAATTCCTGCTTGTTGAAACATTGCATATCTTTAAAAGTAAAAGGCCTTCTGTGCCATTATAACTGCTGACTTATCGTAAAATGCGACTGAGTTCATCTTTTCAATCTCCCCCAAGCGCGGACGATCAGTCTGAGTGAATTGTCCGGGGTCACCAAAAACATGTCAGCTCATGCGAGTCCACATCAAATTGTCGATTTTGGAATGAAGCAGATTCGTTACGAGATGCACTTTGTCTTTTCTGTGGCATTTGCGATCTTTCCTGGGAGAAGCCCCCAGCACTTTCTTTCCGTTGTGCAATAGGGGGATGCTTGTGTGCTTGTGGCGGTTACAAGGAAGAGATCTTCACTGTCTCATGGATGTAGGAGCTAGTGCGAGAGTTGCGTAAGATTCCAGGAATGGCAGGAGAGGGTGGCAGACTGTCGTCAGGGGTGTTGGCGGGTGGGGTGGGTATACTGATTATAGCCGCTGTGAAATCCCTATCCTCACAGTTTAGCTTCAAATCTTCAGTCCGGGCGTTGAGACTGGAGCGGCTGTTTGGATGCGCGCGCGCACACACACACACACACACACACACACACGAGTACATACATTCACAAGAAAAAAAGTTATAGGTTAGGTGGGATATCATCTTAATTGTTACAGAAGTTATTTTTCAGCCACAATTTTTGTTGTAGTCATTTGCATAAAAATTGTAGAAAAATTACTAAAAAGCAGTAATATTAGTCTAACAAGCTTGTATTTCAGAATTTAATATTAATTTTGTATTAAGTATCGCCAACTTCATTATTACATAAACTATGTTCTATGACAAAAAAAAAATTATTATCATCTTTACAAGTTTTAGAAATCTTAAGAAAAAAGTCTTGAAATATTGTCATAATAGAAAAGGAATTAACTATTTTGCATAAAACATGAATTCAAAACAAATCTCATATTTATTTATTACTATATGAATGAAATGATTATTTATAATTATTTAAAATATATAATTATGAAATAATAAAATTATATATACATATTATAAATGATTATATATTTAATAATTATATATTTATATAATTATAAATTATATATAAATCAATATAAATTATTATACAACTACTTCATAATGGTGTGTGTGTATATAATACATTTCTATGAAATAATTATTTATTTCTAATTATTTTTTATTATTTCATAATCTAAATGATTGTATATTTATTTCATAATTATGTATTTATATAATTATATATGAAGGATAAATCACTATAAATGATTGGAATTATAAATTATAGTAGCATTAGTAAAAACATAATTGAGTCTGGACTGATTAATTTTCTATGTTCTATTACAGTAGTAAGAACTTTTTTAATAATTTAATTGTAATAAAAAATTATCAAAAAAATCATAATGGCTCTAATAATACATTTCCTTTTCTTTATGCAAATTGATTTTAGAGTGAATAATGACATTTATCATCAGGGTCTGTGTGATGTCGGACCTTTGGGGTCCAGCAGAGGTTTTGTGCACTTGCAGAGTGTCCAGCTCCTGTACGCTGTCCCGGCTGACGGATGCGGTGGAGTTGGCGAGGCGGATGGCTCTTCTCTTGGCCCTGCGTGGGCAGCAGGACGTCAACTCCCCCTGCTGGCTGGAGATGGAGGTGCTGCGACTGGTACGATAGCCCACTGACTCGGTCATACACATCTCACTGAACGTCAGCTCGTCTGTGAACTCATGATTCTGTTGGACATTACAGGAGGAAATGCTTCACGAAACTTTCTGGATCATGATCTTGAAGGAGCATGTAGGATATTCTGAACATAATTTGTGTCCAGTAACAGACTGAGCTGTACTTACTGTTGTCTTTTCCAGACAATGCAGCAGGTGATTGTGTATATATAAAATGTATAATAAAAACTGTAATATTGTAACATATTACAATATACAATAACTGTTTAAATTGTATTCTGTATTCAATTTAAATATATATAAGTATATTTACTGTCTTTTTTTTGTTTTATAATTTCTATCAACTGAATGCATCATTGCTGAATAAAAGTATTAATTTCTTAAAGAAAAATCTTGTTGGCTACAAACTTTTGAATGGTGTATATATATGTGTGTGTGTGTGTGTGTGTGTGTGGGTGTGTGTGTGTGTGTGTGTGTGTGTGTCTTATTGGTAATTTTATATACAGATATATAGCTGTAAATTTCTCTCTCTTTCTCTCTAATTTCCAATTTTAGTGGTTTTTAAACTAGATGTGAAACCACCACAATTTCATTGAGAAAAAAAGTTGCTATTTTCCATTAACTACAGTAAAAAAATTTTTTTTAAAAATACAGATAAAATATGTACATGAAAGACTGCTAAATATGATCCAAAACAGTCAGCAATGTAGTGAGTATGCAGTGACCATGTTGTGTGACTTTGGCATGCTGGGAGATTCAAACTCTGTTCCTGCCAAACTTGTTGCTATGATACATTTCAGAATGTGTGCTGCTGTTCTGTGTAGTTTTATCCCATAATTACTGGAAAAAATACATTATTTAACTGCTTTCAACATCGCACTGGCTCACTGAGGGTTAAAAGCGTCATTGCCCTGATGTCACCTGTGATTTGACCTTATTTCACCATGTAACTACCTCTCGAGACAGACCGCTGTCCTTGATGCCACGTGCACGTATCCGGTAACCTCTTTAACCTCTCGTTGTAAAACGATCACAAGCGAGGATGTCGTGTCCCGAAGAACAAGCCTCTCAAGAAACAGTCCCAGCGTCTGCCTTTTATGCTTCCCGATACCATCTGGCCCCTGAGCTCTTTGTAGCTCAAGTCAAGGTGGTTTATCGCCATTCCGGCCGCCATCTAGAAGCAGCCCATCGGAGCCGATCTTATCGAGAAGAGAGAGGACGGTCGTTCGGAGTGACTCTGACAGCCAGGAAGGAGCAAGAACAGCTCTGTCTGCTACGCAAGAAATGCCCCGTCAGCCGAAACCAAGGATGACTGAGGGAGCCGGGGCAGATAAGATCACCAATAACTGGAGCTAAGCACAATTAGGTTTGTTTTTGCTAAACTAAAAGTCCCAAGTACTTGGGCAACTATGGCATGACGCAGCTACACCGCCGAACACATTTGAGAAAGTTTGATCATGTAGGACGCGAGTGGGAGCAAAAAGCAATTCCCCTTCTTAGATGGAAAAACTAAAACGTCTCAATCCTTTTGTGGCCCAGCAGAACGGATCTGGAACTGAGACAACCAGGAACATAATACAAAGCATTTCACTCCCATATAATCCAACACGGGAACTACATTTAAAAATGCCCCAAAGCACAAGTGTGTGAGCAAACAAATTCTAGAGAGCTGTTTCAATAAAGGATCCACTATGTTATCTTGACTCACAACAACAAGTGAGAGAGCAACATGCCAAATGCGATACGTCCTTCGGTGCGGTGTGAAATAAGAAAATTAAAGAATCTCAATTTGTCTTAATCTATTTCCTGTTTGACAGAGGAACCCAAAGTGAATCTCTCTGCCACCCAATCGCAGGTACGTCAGCAATAAATCCCAAATAAATACATTTCAGTCAAATCCACAGGCAGCAATACTCTCTTCCCGAACACTCCATCAGGAAAAGATATTTGCCTCCCTGCGGAGGAACCTCAGAGGGTATTAAACCATAAATCACTGACAATTCCATTGTTAAAAAAGCGCTGATAGGGACGTCACATTAACGACAGAATTTTCTCAGTGGAGACAAGAGATACAGCCATTGGATGGCAAAACTACCATGATTAGCATCTATGCAGGCAGTTAAAATGCAGGATTCTAAAAGCTCCAGGGTTAGATAAGATCAAGAAATCTAGCAGGTCACACTGGCTTTTGCAAATCATAACACAAACTTTTTAAAAATACTTTTTTTAATGATGATGACAATGCTGGAACTTTCAGGGTAGTTGCTTGGTTGTTGATAAGTGGTTGCTTACTGGTTAAAGTCAAATGGATGAGTTACATAAATACAGGATTACGTTTAATACTCAATGCTATTTAAAATGTATTATTATTAATAAAAAAGAAAATATAATACTATATTTAGTGGTCCTTAATAATGCAAGTATAATTATGATTAATAATACTACTAATAATAATCATAATAAATTGTACTTTATTATTATTATTATATTTATAAACTTTATATCAATTATTGTTAATAATAATAATTATACTTATTAAGCAAAACTAAATAAAATACTGTATTTTGCATGAGGGGTTATTTTGATCTATAATTTTATTTGAAAATCCTTTGAACATTTCAGTCCGCACATTATTATTATTATTATTGAAAATGCACTATTAAATTCAGTGCCACTTACTAAGGCAAGTATAATTGATAATTTATAACAGGTAAATCATACATAAATCACATAAACATTTGCTAATGACCTTTCATCAAAGGTCAAGACTCGCACAGACTCTTGAGTGCTGAATGACAGTGTGCAGACACAAAAGCAAGACCTAAGTAGAAATTCAAAGCCAGAATAGGCTGAAGAGTTGAAAAAAGCCTTCGCCTGGCTTATAAATAGCACTGCAGGCCTGTTAGTAATGGCTTTATAGATCCACGCTGAAAAAAATACCCCCTCACTCGGGGATTGTAAATATTGGATTATTGTGGCTTTCACAACCTGAGAAGATTCCGGTGAACTCTACCTGCTGCATTAGTAAAGACGCAGATTGAATCTCTCTCTCTCTCTCGCTTTGAATCCTTACCTGATAAGCTTTATAAGCTGTTGCATAGGGCCCCGTGGCTACCAGGGGGCCCCATGTCAGAGTTCAGACAGTAATGCTTGGTAATAATAACTTTGATGAAGTTTCCATGTATCAGTAGTGTGTGTTTGATAATGAAGAGGTGGCACTATACAACTGGTGCAGAGAAGTGGAAAAAGATAAAAAATAATAATAAAAAAGATCATTTAGTGTTGTTGCCCCTAAATTATGGAACTCTCTTCCCAGATCGCTCTGTCTTGCCAATAACCTGTCTGAATTTAAATCGCTGCTCAAAACTCATTTGTTTTCACAATGTTACCTTTCTTAAGTTGACTTCTTTTTATTCTGTTTTATGTTGTCTTATCCATATATTACTCTCTGGATGTCTGATGTTCTCTTTACTTTACTTTCTGTATTATTGTTTGATTGTTTGTTGATGTTATCCGCACATTTCTGATGTTTATTGTAAAGTGTCCTTGAGCTCTGGAAAGGCGCTATATAAATAAAACGTATTATTATTATTATTAAAAGAAAGTGAGCAAGATAAGGGTGCATTTTGAAAATTGAAATGGCGGTTGCTGGATCGTGTCTTATCTGTTTAATTCGGCATTTTGCGAGTTCTTTGAAGACGCGCTGTGCCAATGTAACAACAGTAATGAACATGAACAGTATTGTTACCGTGGGCACTTCAAAATATGTGAATAATTATATAGATATCTTATTATCCGAATGGTTTAGATTTTTAGAGCGCACATTAGCTTATTTTCCATCGACCAGTTAAGTTTTACAACACTGCGCGTTTGCCATGTAAAAGTTCATCAGATTTTCTCTTCGATCTGAACAAAAGCAGCAGACGGGCTGAATAAAAATGCAAGTTCATTCTTTGACAGGAGGTAGCACTTGAGGAACAGCAGAAATACAGCCATTACCATGGTTACCCCTGTACACAAAGCAGCACTGTGCCAGCTCAAATTTATATTCCCTTTTTCCTTTTTCTTTTAATTCACTTTATCAAATAACACCAAATACTTAAATACGCCATATTTTTAGTCATACATTTTTTATACTTAAGCATTTTTGCATTTTAATCTGGACTAAAACAAGCCAGTCCAGAAAAGAGATTATTCTGCATTATTATTGGTAATAATAATAATAATAATAATAATAACAACAATACTACTACTACTACTAATAATAATAATAATAAATCATTATCTTTAATATAAAGATTCATAACCCAGGTCTTGGTTTATTAAAGCATTAATCTCACAAAATTTTCATATATTTTCTGAAAGCAATGGTTAAACTTTTAAATAGTTAAAAATGGTTAAAAAGTTGTTAAAAGTGTTTAATAAGTAAATATATCTTCATATTTATATATTAAAAGATACTGAGTAGATACTGATTAAGACAATTTGGTAAATCTTTACAACAGGGTTAATATAGTAAACTAAAACTAAATATATAT